ATGCGGAAGAGGCTGCTGCAGCTCATGCTGGATCAGGTGCGTCCGAATGATGTAACGGAATCGGAGCCGGGCGCGCTCGGAGTATAGTCCCTTGAACTGTGAAGGGGGGTTTGAAGCAATTTCATTTTCGTTCTACACGTAACTATATTTTCCAAGCCTTCTTGGGTTGCATATAAATAACGTCTTAGCAGGCTTCGTTATTGGTAGAGCAATTATATGACCATTTAGAATCGCTTAGCGACGAGGCGCTTGTGCAAAACAGTCAGCTGCAGAGTGATGATACAAAGATGCATATCCTTTTGTATGCTGGATGAACGCCACCAGATTCTGCCACATCCTCTGACCCTGGTAGCTTCGATGGCGGGTGCAAAGCCGGGGAAGTACACCTCCACAGCGATCCATCATCGGCACGACATGGAACTGATTAAAGTCGTCGGACCCCATCCCATTTCGACGTCCCAAATTGAAAGGCAATCTCAGTTTAATCCTGCGCTCCTTATTTGATGGCGTCGCGGTGCGTCCGCGGACGCCGGCGGCCCCGCTGAGCGCCGCGGTACCGTTCGGTCTGGGTCGAAGGTAGAGGGCGAGTGCCTCGGGCGTGTGCCACCGGCTGACTTGGCTCTGGGACACGTCCGGAGGGCAGAAAAGCGGAGGCGTTCCAGGCTGCTACCGTCTGCGCGGTCCATCTTTCTGCCGCATTAGGCACGGTCTCCGCGTCAGTGCCATCGCGGCGGCCGGGGTCAGGGGCGGAGCCCGGGCGACCGCATCGCTTTGTTCCGAGCCACGGTGAGCGACGCCTATGGTTCCGGTGCCGACCGGGGAGGATGTGCTCCCGGCCGTTCCGCCGCGGCGACCCGCGTCGTCGGCCGGGCCGTGGGAGCCGCCTGGAGAGCGGCGGCTGCGGTCTGACCCGACCCGCGCCGTCGCCGCTCGCCGAACTGCGGTCGCCGCTGACGTCTCCATCGACGGCAAAAAATAGCCGCGCCATCAATTGTCTCCGGCGCGCACAAATCGGACCGGCGGCGGCGCTAATTGTCGGGCTTCTGTCGACGGGTAATGACCAGCCGGCGCCGGTCACGTCTCCGCAGCGGCGGCCACCCAGCGGCGCCGCGGAGCCGCGCTGGGCGTCAAATTACACCTGCCAGCCTGATCGGTGACCGGCCGCGGCCGCACAAAGCCGCCGGTGTCGGGAGGTCGTCCCGCGTGCGCCTCCCGCCGCCGTCGACGGGCGGCGCCGCGGGACGCCGCGCGGCGGCCGCACCGCGCCGTGAGACGCAGCTGACACCGGACGCAGCGTCGGCCGCCCCGCGGCGCGGCGCCGGCGGCGCGGTGGCCGTGGCTTTATGCCGGACGCGCGGCGGCGATGGAAATGCGGCGGCGGGCTCACATCTGCGCCAGATCGGGGCCGCCGCGGTTTATCCGCCAAATGGAGCCGCCGAGATCTGGATCAGATTGCGCCGGATTGGAGCGGTGTCAACCATGCGCGCGCGACGCGGCCGCTGACTGAGCCGACGCGGGAATGTCTGGCGTTCGACGCCGCGCGGTCAGGAGCGTGAGGAGCGCGCCCGGGCCGGGTGCTGGCGCTGCGGCGGTGCTGGCGCTGCGGCGGCGGCCGCCCCGGCGAGCGTGCGGCTCTCGCGACGATTACGCGGCCGGGGCGAGGTGGATTTATTCATCATCGATCAGTCGCGCAGCCACCGGGCGTCGGCGCAGCCGCGGTAGCCGCCGACGCCGGCGCGCCGCCAGCGCCGACAAACAGCGTCGTTTGTTACCGCCGTAATGCGGCTGTGAGAACCGGCCGCCGGCCGCGACGGCCGCATAGTTCCAGCGCTCGGCGGCAGCCATTAGCGTTGGCCGCGGCATCTCCTGAATGGCAGGCGCGTCCCGCGGCCGGCTCGGGATCGCGGACTGAGCCGGCCGGCGCCGCGGCGACCGTGGCGTATGAGGTCATTGGAGTCGGAGTACGCTCGGCTGATCTCGTCCGCCCGTTCGGCTGGCCCAACGCCAAGAGACGGCTCAGTGGACGGGGCCGTTTGTGCTCAAAGCTTGGTCGTGATTTCGCGGATTCCGCGGTGGAGTTTGCCCGCTTATGCTGGCGCGGCGACCATTCCTCTGGAAGTCCGTCTGAGAAGGACCGTTAGAAAGTGAAGATCAAAGCTGGCTGGGGGATCGGCTGGGAAGATCGCGAAGTAAGCCGACTTGCGCCACCGCCTGCGCTGCCTATGATGCCATTGAGCCGGAATACGTGTGATTTATTCGTCTGTATAGTGGCGTTCTTACGTTCGATGTCCGAGAAAGAACAGGACATTGCCGACCAGAGCAAGACATTGATAACCTCGAAGAAGGCATTGGAAGGCAGCCCACCGTCTGCCGTGCTCGCTGCTTGCCTCAGATCCCTTTTTTGAAAGGATGTCCTCGTGCCTCCCCGGGCTTTCATTCCGTTGACGGCGTCATCGCAGGAGGCCTGCTGAAGCGGAGCGTGAGGGCCGCCCCTCTCATGTCCGGTCCCCCCGAACACCGTAAGTTCGGTGCTTTGTGACCTGATGCCGTGCTTGTATGGTTATGACTCTGCTTCGTGGCGGAAGACCGCGTATTTACGACATGGCGTGTCCGAGTTGTACCTGCTCTCTCTCCCTCCGACGAATTCATTATACCGACCTGGCTTGCTTATTAGTTCAGCCTAGGAAGGCATGCTCATGCGAGCCAACCGAGTTTCGATGATAGCATCTTTAGCATGCAAATACGTTGCTTATCTATCCTAGGGAATCCGCGCTGTTAACACGCCATTTTACGAGTTCATAAAACCGAACGGTATAAAAACGCAAACAATCCAGGTGGTGCCTCAAGATGAAAATAGATAGGCCCTGATGCTGCCAGTCTGACCGCGCTATCATACCCACTCATCTCCACTTCAGCATTTTTGGGGGCGACGGAGAGCCATAGCTCATCACCACGTGCGTGCTTCGGTCGTTGGCCAGACAGGTTGTCATTCTCACACCAGTTGCTGCACGCGGGATGACGCATTGTTCTACACGCGGCGGCCAGACGGAACCCACCACTAATGGAAGGGACTCCGACCATCACTGGCGGTCGGCGTCGAGCACCGATCGCAGCGACGCCGACTGGTTCGCAGCGCCGCGACAGGTCGCGTCGGCGGTCGTCGATGGGGGGGGGGGGGGGGAGGTGAGGTTTGAGGTAACGTTTGGGTTTGGAATCATACGCGTCGTTGTCCGTTTCTGGCGTGACGTTTGGAAAAACGCCCACTTCAGCGAAGAGGCCCAACAAACCGCACTAGAGGTGCGATGCCATCTGTGTGCGCCATGTGACATGTCCGCATCACGATGCCATACAGTTGGACCGTCACCTCTCCCATGCCTTCAATGGCGCCTGAGAAGCGCCGCCGGACACGGAGCCCTCCTCCCTCTGCCCCTGGCCGCACACCCAGCGCTCGAGTCCGCGTCCGGCCGGCCGCTCGCGGGCGCCTCCCTCCTCCTCCTCCTCCGCCGAGCGTCGCGTGCCGGTCTGCAGTTACGTGGCGCCACCGCGGGGCGTCGGGGCAGGCCGGCGCCCGTCCCTCGCCGATGACGCAGCCGCCCCGGTCGGACGCGAAGGGATGACGCCCGCCCCGGCGGACGCCGCGGCCGACTCGCCGGGGTCCGTTGCCTAGCGACGAGCTGCTGACGGGTGGAGCCAGTGACGCGCCCACCAAGCACGGCGATTATGAAGTTTTGCGGCCGGCGCGTTCCGGCTTATGGCTTGTTTGAAAAACGTGGCCACCGTGCTAGCTGGTGACGAGTTCAGTTTTTTTTGCGAGCCTGCATCCGCAGAGTTACACCTGCCTAGATTAATACGCCAACGTGCAATACTATCTTAGGCTGGCATTCTCAGGAGGACTCCCGGCGAGCCGCACTGCTGGTTCCCCGCCGGGCGTGGTGCTGACCTGCACGAGGAGCTTCTGCTCGTGACGTGCTATTATTACCCGCCCCTCCCCCTTCCCCCCCCCCCCCCGGCACCCGCTGCGCCAGTTCTCAAGCCTGACCTGGCTCGCCGTCAGTCAGCAGCCGCCCTGTCTCGGGGCTCTATCTTTGTCGGAGGCGTCAGCCGGCGCTGTTACATCAGCTGCGCGGGATGCCTGCCCTTGCCAGCCGCCGGCGGTGCCAGGTCAGCTGCTCCATTGCATCACGGCGCCGCGGCGGTATCAGGACATCATCGCAGCTCAGATCGAGAGATTGCAGCCATGTAAAAACGCCGGCTGCCTTTGTCGACGTCTATGACGTCTGATGCGGCTGGCGGCTGTGTTTTTATCGCAGCGTTGTTAAGTCACCCGTCAGTGGTGGACTTTGACGTTTCGGACAGCGCTTCCGACGTTTCCAACGTTTATGGAGATATTGTCGATAGCGGTAAACGGTACTGTTAGTAGGTGCTCGTTTTGAGTAAACTGGCCCCGAAAATAAAATAACACGATCGTCGCCCTCGCAGGTGCCGGGATGAATTATGACATTCATTGTACTACACAATTCTGTTTAAAACTTAGCATCCATGTCCTTGTTTGTGGACACAATTCCAGCTGAACTGCCGCTATGTTATATATGGCAGTGATGTAAGTGATGCGTCCACCCGTGGTTTCGTTGTGCTGACTTCATATCCGTGATGCTTACAAATAGCTGGTGTGCGAAAAGAAGACCGACTCCTTATCTGGGCGAAGGTTGTAACTGGCTTGATTTTGCGGGGAGACTGGCTTAGTCTGGCAACTGGCGCGGCAACTGGACTGTCAACGGCTCTGACTGGTGTTTGTCCCTCAGTCAAATCTCTTAGACCAGCCCAGTACCGCGTACATTCATGCTGTCCACCTCTACCACCGTGCTTGTCCCCCCCCCCCCCCCCCCCCCCGTTGCCCAGCCTTGCGTCCGTCGCCCTGTCCGCGGTGGCGGTCCGGTCTCCCGTCCGCCGGCGTCGTCTCCCGGCGCCACTGACCAGCCGCCTCTCTGCTGTTCGCGCAGGCGCCGTCGGCCGATGTCTGAATGCTGGGCATCCTGCACGCTGAGTCGGGCCCGTGGACCAGGATGGACCCCGCCGCCGGCTCGCTGCGCTCGGTCGCCTCCAAGAGCCGCTCCAACGGCAAGCTGCCGCAGCACTCGCTCTCCAGGCAGATGAACCAGTGAGTCGACCCGCGCGCCCCGCGCAGTGCGGGCGATGCGGCGAGGTGGAGCTCGTTCTTGTGCTGTTGGGCCGGTGGTGTTTTGTTAATTGGCGTCGCTGGTTGCGGCAGACGGATTAGGCGAGTCCTCTGCAGCGTGTCTGCGATCTCCCAAGCTGTTAAACGGTGATTGCTGAAGATATTTAACAGCTGGTTATCCTGTCGTGCCAGCTGTTGCGAATGGTCGCCTCACGGTAACCTGTTAAAAATTTAACTGATTTACGCCCCCTAGTACCAGCTAAAACAAACCAAGAAGAAAAAATTCACGAAGTAGGAATGTGTGATGAGAATCATTCACGATTCGGGAGCCATTAGATTAGTGTCATTTTGGGATAATTGTAGAAGCTGAATCAATCAAGTCACATCTCAGACCCAGGATTATCCAATATATCCTTTCAGAAGAACTGACGTTGACCTATAGTACTTGTCTATCTTGATGGTGGCAAAATTCTTCAATCAAATTGCGGCATCTTGAAGAAGAAGCGCCGGGCGGCTCTATTTAAAACATACAAATTAAGCTGCAGTAAATGTCGCAACAGATGCTATTCCATTCATCTAAATGCTCGTCACTGAGTGCTATCCACGCCGTAGCCATTCTGCGCACACCAACGAGTCCCCGCACGAATGCGCCGCCGCATCCGTCTCCCGTCGCGTCCCGACCAAGGCAGTGAGGCGGATGTCATTTGGGGCTCCGTGCCAGAGCGCCAGGCGACGGCGTGACGTCACTGTCGCGCTTCAGCCGGAACTGATCGCCAGACGCCGTGAGGAGCTCCCCACCAGTTTTTCAGTAGCTCAGCGCTCGCGGTGACAGGTTAGGGCAACTCCGGCCCGGGGATGACGACGTCTCATAGAGCTGGCTGCGGAATCTCCAGGTGGTCGTGGCTGGCTTTGGCACGTAGTAGATAGCGCTCAGATTCCGGCATAGTCGAATCGGCGGATGTTTCCCTTGCAGTGGGATTATGGTAAGCTAGACACGACAGGGCTGCAGCACACTCAACTCGTTTTCACGCCGGGTTCCCATAACTTTGTTTCTCGTCAAATTAAGCCGGCCGCACGGCCTGCGCTAATGCTGTTTGATTACTTGCCTCTGCGATTGTTGCCGATAATCTGTTTCACATTTGTCATCGCACTTAACATGGACAGCCCGTCATTGCAAGTCGACAACTTTGCGGCCAAATATCATGTGTTATCCGGCTAAAAGCTACGCTGGCTATAAATAGCATGTTTGACACGGAAACGATGCGGAATCATTATTACTGTTCCATGTACTCATTTGTTCCATTCCCCCCTGAACTTTGTTCCCAAATTGGTTTGCTGCTGCACGCAAGCGGTTTTAAGCTAAATCTTCACGATCATTACGAAAAGCGACGGCCATAATGTTCCGACGACGCCTCCTTTCACCGCAGCCAAAGCGGCGACATGGTCGTCTCCATTAGCACCCTCATTACCGGTCTATTACGTAATCAGTACTGCAATCGGACCGTCCCTTGGGCTGCCTTTTGACTTCCGCTCAGTTATCTTTGCAGATGACTGTGCAGATTTCTCGAGGGAGGCCGTGCTCTACGGCGCTAAATGCGAAACAAAGTGTGTCTCCTGCATCGCACATCTAAATGAGTCTCTCTTAGGCCAGTTCCCAGCATTTCAGAGCCACACGTCCTGTTTCTTGTCTCACTGAGATTCGGGGATCCCGCGTAGCCATCTTTGAGCTGATGTAGGGCATCAGTTTGTCATGTGGTTCCTTGATTCGATCCTTCGAAGACCAGTGAGGGTCACAGCCGTTCTTCCAATGGGACTCCGACCGCCATACATGTTCATCGATGCGGCTGTCACTCTGCGTGCCCACGCTGGTCGCTTGATTAATCCCGGAGTGCCCGAGTCGGTCTCCGCTGGCACCCGGAGTGCCTTAGTCGACGACCCACCGGCTGTCCCCGGAGTGCGCGAGCCGATTGCACCGGCACCCAGTGCAGCCGCCAATGACGGCGCCCTGGGTGTCGGCGTCGACCCGCTCTGACGTGCCTCGTCTCCGTCCGCAGCAGCCGCCTGGAGGAGTCGTTCGAGGCCCCCGGCACGCCCGTCTCCACCGTGGTCAACATGTTCTCGTCGGAGGCGGCGCACACGCCCGCCGGGCAGGACGTGATCGAGGTCCAGATCCTGCCGCAGGACAACTGGGCCGACAACACCACCGCCGTCACCGGCAACACGTCCGACGTGTCCACCTCGCTCGACGACTTCGGCCGCTTCTACCGCGACCCGGAGCACACGCTCAGCTTCCAGTGCCAGCGCTACCTGGGCACCACGCTGGCCGGTGTCATCAGCCTCTTCGCCTTCCTCTCGCCCGTCGCCATGGTCATCATCCCCAAGACGAGCCTGCTGGGGCTGAAGCAGGCGCAGCTGCAATGCGGCGCCGAGTGTGACGGCACGCTCATCTCCTTCGCCTTCAAGCTGGTGATCCTGCTGGGCGGCACGTGGGCGCTGTTCCTGCGGCCGCCGCGGGCCACCATGCCCCGCATCTTCACCTTCCGCGCCGTCGTGCTCGTGCTCGTGTTCGTCTTCACGTTCAGCTACTGGCTCTTCTTCTTCGTGCGCGTTCTGGAGGAGCGCGCCGAGATCCGCTACTACACGATCGTGGTGTTCGCGGGCAGCCTGGTGGACGCGCTGCTGTGGATCCACTACCTGGCGGTGCTGCTGCTGGAACTGCGGCACGCGCAGCCCCAGTACGCCGTGCGCGTGGTGCGCAGCCCCGACGGCCAGTCGCGCCTCTACCCGCTCGGCCGGCTGAGCATCCAGCGCGCGGCGGTGCACATCCTGGAGCGGTACTACACCGACTTCCCCGTGTACAACCCCTACCTGGAGCGGCTGCCGACCAAGGCGTCCCGCAAACCCAGCGTCACCAGCTACAAGTACTACGACGTCGACGGCTCGACGGCGGGCTCAGCGCTGCAGGTGGGTCAGAGGCCGGTCGGCGTCCGCGCCGGCGATGGCGGCGGGCTCGGCACTGCGGGTGGGTCGGAGGCCGGTCGGCGTCCGTGCTGGCGCCGGCGATGGCGGCGGGCTGCGCTCGAGAGACAGCGCTATTTTTGGAATAACTGCCCTGACGATCGGTTCGTTAAGCAATTTGATAGCATGGGTAGCATCTAAAATGCTGGACGTCGTCGTCAGTTGTGGCAAGCTAAGCCAGTGAAAATTTAAAGTTTCCTGCGGCTTGAGTGAACCCCGAACCCTTCTTCAATCGATTGGTTCATCCTACTGGCGGTTTCGCGGAAGCCGTGGCGTTAAAGGTGGCGTCAAAGGTGTCACAGCTTTGAAAAGAAAATTGAAGTGTGCATGGTCCCATCGCTATGAACGCGTAAAAATGCAGCACAAAGTCGTACGAACTTAACAGAAAAACAAACACCACTTGCCAGAGTCGTATGTTCTCACTTTGTGGTCACCGCCAGTGGAGAGAGGGCCTCTGGCAATCGCCATGCACGTCTTTGACCCCGACGCAGCGCGCCGTTGCACCTAAAAGGGCTGCGAAGGTGGACTTTCTCTGTTCTCAAGATGCAGATCTGGTAACAAATACCGTGACTCCATGCTCTGTACATTGCCGCCAGAGGGAGACGCTATCGCGGTGTCATGGCGCTACATGTCATGGGACATTATGTCGCCAACATTTTTCTCGCTGGGCTGGAACTGCACTAGTGGTGTGCTTACATGGCCGGGCCCTCGCGCAGCAGGCAACGACTCCATGTCAAAGCCTCCTCTGCGAACGCTAGCAGGAGTTCCTTTTTCAATACACTTGTTTGGCTCTGTATGAGATTAAGTGATACGGTGCAACTATTGGAGAAGAACCCCGCGTGCGCCCTAATCCATTAAGAGATGTCTCGACCGATTCGTAGAAAGCAGGCTGCATAAGTGGCATCGCGAGGAGCAAGTTGAATCGGCCCGCTGAATGCCATCCACCGCTTTCGCTCGGCTCCCGTTCATAAAAACCAGTTTGTTGAGATGGCGCCGGTTAGCGCCGTCCCAATCCGGCGCGATACGCGCTCCGATAGCCGCATTGATTAATGGTCCGTGAGAGAGGGGATAGTCATCGCGCGGCCGCGTAACCAGAGCCGCCAGGGCGAGGCCGGCGCGGCTCCTGTGTCGCGCCGGGCGGCGGGCCCGCGCCCGCCGCTGCTCGTCCATCAGGGCCCCGCGCACGCGGCTCCACCGTGCGAACCCCCAGTGTCCCCAGCGTGACGCGAACACACTAAATCAGCTCCGAGCAGCGGCGGCGCGGGCCGCGACCCGACGACCTCCCCGCAATAAAGCGACGCTTCACCCCGGCCGGCTGGCGCGGCGCCGCGCCCACGATCGGACCGGCCGGCCGGCTGGCTGGCGGTGGAGAGGCGCTCGGGTGGAAAACGCAGAGGAAAGCTGGCGTGGGAAGCGGCGGGACGGAAACCCTTCGCTGTAGGCGTGTTGACGTCAGGGCTGTTTCAATGAAGGGTGGTGTGAACGCTGTCACACTGTCTTGTCCGTGCATGGTCTGTCGGCACGGCGCGGCCGGTCACCGCCGGTCACGCCTGGCAGACCCTGGCCTGGTCTGGCGGCGCGCCGTCCGGCCGTCCAGTTGCCGGTCTGGTGGCGCCGTCCCGACCCCGTCCGCCAACGAGAGACGTGACGGGACTTTATCGGCGCCCGTCGCCCTCTCGCGGGAGGCGGTGGCACGCGCTGATGGCCCCGAGCGAGACAAAGCCGGGCTGACACGCAGGGATCGGTCAGCTTCCCCTGCGCGCCGCTCCTCTCGCGGGACCGGGGAGAGGGAGAGGGTAGTTGGGTTTTATGACCGCTTTTCCGCGAAATGAGAAAATGCGATGAGCCGGGTGCTCTAAGGCCGCGCGACTGGTGGCGCTTCGCTTTGTCTGTCAGGAGTATCGATGGTGGAAGGGGTGGAGACGTGGGCGTGAACGCGGTAACGAACTCCTGAAATATATCATTTTTAATGAGCGGTTAGTAACTTGTGCTTGGACCTCACAGATGCTGCTTCCCATTTACCGCAGCGAGCCGTCTCATTGTCTGGGCGGTCTGGACGCTGGGCGTGCCGCTCCGGAAACAGCGTAGAACCGACTAAAAACTGCCGCTGATGACCACTCGAGAGCGTCCGGGGACCGCCGATCTCGCGAGGGCCGGTAACGAGCCGGCCGCCGCAGGAGTCCGGCGCCACCTGGCGTAACTGGCGCGTCACGACTTCCCACGCCGACCGGTCACGTGACGCCACGGCCGGCCGCGCCCAGCGGTCACGTGACCGGCCGGCTCCGATGGCCGGCAGCCGGCCGGCGCCGTACTGGTCTGTAATTGAGTGGCTGGACCGGGCCTGGCCGTGTTGGCGCTCGGACGGCTGCGTTTTTGTCCGTAATTAAGGACAGGAACGCGGGCGACGCATCACCGGTCGGCGCGGGCGTGCCTGCACGCGCGCTCCGTGCACAGGGCCCACGGTCGGGCGGTAAAAACTGGCCGGCCGGCCGGCGCCGCCGCCTTGCTGTCAATCAGGCGGCGAGCTTTGACTGGCCGCTCGGGAGCCGCCCGGCGGCCGTGCGCGCCATCTGTTGAGAGCTGTTTCGTCACGGTTGGGTGAGCGGCCGACTTTGGCCGGGCGGCTTTGTTGAAGATGGAAGTACTTTCCTCGTTGCTCAGGAAAAGTTCGCCTTTGCGCGGGACTCGCCGGAGCCAGCTGATCATTACACCGGCTGTTCCAGTCGCTGTGTCAGCGTTGGATGCTGAGGCGGGGGATCAGGGCTGTACTCGCAGTAACTCATGGGTAGTCGGCTAGGGCGTGAGTCACCGTGCCGATCTGACAGGGGGTGCGAAGAGCCATTCCCAGCTTTCGTGATCGGGGGGATTCAGGGAAGCAGCCAAGAAGGGGGTGGGGACCTCACGCGGCTTTTGTCCCGCCTCCGACAGGACACGGCGCGTTTTTCACCTATTTACTAGTGAATCTACTGCCACAATCTGGAAACTGCGAAAGCCATTTTGGTTTTGCATCTCATTGACTAACATGGGCAGTGCCATTTCGCACCTAACAACGGTTATCTGTGGTCATGGTCGGGGAATAGACAAGAACATGTGCACAGTTCGGAGCTGAGGCAATTATCTTCGACGTCAGGGCTTACCAACTTTGATAACCCTTTGGTATATTGAGTACTGTTAAGTATTGCACCTTTTGCTACGTTACGTCCTGCACATCACGCGCTGTGCCTTTTAGCACTCGTGGTGTTCATGGTCCGTCCACAGTGCGTAATCACTGTGATGAAGCTGGGACTCGATCCTAAATGACTTCTAGCTCCTACCCCTGTCATACTTCCTGGCCGCACCCGTAAGAGGATCGTCAGTCGCCGGTCGGAAGACGCCCACATAGTACATCAGCGACAAAAACGAGTCTTCTGGAGCTACGAGACAGACTGGGTGCTCTCTGATTCCTGACGCAGATGGTGGAGGCTTCACCATGTGTATTTACTCTTGCGTCGGTGGGCGGATGTCTAAAGCTACCGCGTGCTGCACTACGGATTGACAGTACGTTCCTCGCGGCTCACGTGCCCTGCTAGCTTCCGCGGCGTGAATACACATACTTTTGGGCCGCACCAGCGTTTGGTTCTCTAGTGGTCCTTGGGCTGATAGAAACGCTCATAGAAACGTTAACAGAATACTCACATGTTATTCTGGTGTTGCCACTAAAGCTGCTGTTAAGTGTTAGTTCTAATACGCATTAATGACCATAGCTGGCCTTTTTTGTTCCGGAAAGCTGGTTATGTGACGGGGTCAACGACATGTACACGTCAATCGAAAACGCGCTTTCTTTTTGTTGATGCCTGCTTCGCAAAACAACACCGCGAGATTCCAATGCCAACCAGCCGACTGGTGACGGCGAAGTCTGACATGTTGTTAATTGGCTCGAACGCAGGTTTGAGACTAAGAGCTGCCCAGACGAGTTTTTAGTGACATGATCGTGTTACGGTCATTGCCATTTCATCACATAGGCACATGCCTGCTTGTTCATCCTACCAATATGAAGTCGTGCTCAGCGACGGGTTTCTTGTTTATCTTGATTTGAATGAAGCGGGTTTTGTGTTTAGATGAGGTTTTGATGGAGCACTGGTATCGGGCATGTCATGGTTCACAGCAGAGCACAGAAACGCTCGACAATTTCTTGCGAGTTCACGTCTTATCAAAGACATCAATGCTGCGGCGGCTCATCATTCCGTGAGGAGCGCAATCGCTGAAGCTCGCTTTCCCACCGCCGGCAGCAGTTTTCCATGTGTGAATCACCTTGGTAATGGTGGGAACGGGCGGTGACCAGGTGGTGACTGATGGGACCAGGTGGGACCCGTGGCGCCGGGACGAGCGGTGATTGGCTGCCGACGGGCGTCTGACCTCGGGGCCCGTGGCCAGCGTCTGACCCCGCAAGTTCAGGGTCACCTCGCCGGCCTGCTCTGAAGCGAAGACCCGACCCTACACCGATGCGAATATTAGAGATGATGATGCCATTCATTGCTGCTTCCGAATTACCCATGTGCGCCGTTACACCTCAGTATAAGTGAGTTATTCGGTCGTAATGTCTGAGAAGCAGGCTAGACGTGCAGATAATCTCGGTTCTTAGAAGACGAATTAACGGAACAAGCTGGTGATCAGGCGCTTCGTTCTGACAGAGCTCCCCGGAGGACGACTGATCAATTAACACCTGACGTATCATCACGTCCGCCGTTTCCGTACTTAATTTGTACGACAGCCTAGCACTGTGCTACCGCGCGCTGAACGGCCACGATCTCACGCGGTGTGGCGATGCCGCGATGCCACCCCACCCGTGGACGACACGCTCACCGCGGGCGTGGTGGAGACAGGGTCCACCCGGTCGTCCACGGGTGTGGTGGAGACAGGGTCCACCCGGTCGTCCACGGGTGTGGTGGAGACGGGGTCCACCCGGTCGTCCACGGGTGTGGTGGAGACAGGGTCCAGCCGGTCGTCCACGGGTGTGGCGGAGACAGGGTCCAGCCGGTCGTCCACAGGTGTGGTGGAGACAGGGTCCACCCGGTCGTCCACGGGTGTGGTGGAGACAGGGTCCAGCCGGTCGTCCACGGGTGTGGTGGAGACAGGGTCCAGCCGGTCGTCCACGGGTGTGGTGGAGACAGGGTCCAGCCGTGGCCCAGTCATCCGCTCCCCAGCTCCAGACGTGCATCTCCCAGGGCCGCCCCGGGACGTCCGATCCGGCATAGCGCCTCGTTGCGGCCGCGTCTAGTGGCGTCGTAACCGGTCTGGAACGACCCGGGCCGGCCGAGGCGCCGCCCGCGGCCCAGGCGTTACGGCGCTCCTGGAAAGCGGGGCAGGCGTGCCGACCACCGCCAGTCCACTGACCAACTGCCGGCGGTGGAGCCGAGCCGAGCCGAGCCGAGCCGAGCCGAGCCGAGCCGAGCCGAGCCGAGCCGGGCCGAGCCGAACCGATCCGAGCCGAGCCGGGCCGAGCCGAGCCGAGCCGAGCCGAGCCGAGCCGAGCCGAGCCGAGCCGAGCCGAGCCGAGCCGAGCCGAGCCGAGCCGAGCCGAACCGATCCGAGCCGAGCCGGGCCGAGCCGAGCCGAGCCGAGCCGAGCCGAGCCGAGCCGAGCCGAGCCGAGCCGAGCCGAGCCGAGCCGAGCCGAGCCGAGCCGAGCCGAGCCGAACCGATCCGAGCCGAGCCGGGCCGAGCCGAGCCGAGCCGAGCCGAGCCGAGCCGAGCCGAGCCGAGCCGAGCCGAGCCGAGCCGAGCCGAGCCGAGCCGAGCCGAGCCGAGCCGAGCCGAGCCGAGCCGAGCCGAGCCGAGCCGAGCCGAGCCGAGCCGGGCCGAGCCGAGCCGGGCCGAGCCGGGCCGAGCCGGGCCGAGCCGGGCCGAGCTGGGCCGAGCCGAGCCGGAGCCAGGGAGGAGGTGAACGTGGTGACGAGGGACGACAGAATGTGGCCAGATTTGTCAGAGACTCGTGCCGAACGGTTAGCACTGGTGGCTGCCTAACAGAGCTTATTACTCTTGTCTTGTCGTGTCGTGAGCCCACCACACAGTGAGTGCCTCAATATATCTCAGCGGGCGGCTTCCTCAGCGGTGGTAGTCACGTGTCGATCGTAGGTGCTTGTAGGTACATATCAGCAGCAACGTAACCACATCTTCATTGTTATGGGACCCACGTCCCGTTTGTGTGTCATTTGATGTTGCCAAAGTACACAACTTTCTCGATCTGCCCAACAGTTTTTGGGGTCGAGACCCGCCGATCCCAGTGGTGGATAGCACACGCAGCTAGGCTACCGCTGACCCCAGGATATGGAACAAGTACCTGGAGGGTTGGCAGGTACTGACTTTAGCTCGCACTCGGCCATCCCGTCCTGACCTCCTAAACTGTACTCTTGACGGCCGGCTGTAACCCACCTCGCGGTCGTACCCCCCCCCCCCCCCGCCCTTTGGCGGTCGACTGTACCCCACCTCGCGGCGTAGGGGCGAATTTTACAGGGAGGATTTACTGTGCAATGCACATCATGTAACGTTTGGCCTATCAGTGTGCAAGGTGATTTACATGAATGTATTTTGGTCATGCACTAGCAACCATTTGATGATTAACGACCTTTCATGATGAATTACCTGGGCTTTGGTCTTGATTGTAGGTGTTCCCAAACTTTCAGCGTAGCCAGGCCGCCCGTGCCAACCACGAGGTCCTAAATGAAAATAATGTTCCCCTCACCTGCTGCGAAATGTTGCTACTTTAGACCGATGCTCACATATATCATCGCATCGTCACGTGACTTCGTAAATGCAGAGCATTGGACGCATGTTGAGATTAATGACCGGCCATTTAATTCAACTTCACGACGTTTATCTTTGCTGTGGCCATTACTGGATTTCTCTTTTAATCATGGCGGGATCTAGCACGCAAACATCAGTGAAAGTGTTGCGCATGCTGCATGATTTACATCTTCCCAGCCAACGCTTCCTTGCCCTCTGAAGAATTATACCTCCGACGTAACTGATGTATCGAAGCTGGCCGGCCGGCTCGACGCGCGGTTCATTGCCTGATAAAAACCGCCGGCCGCATGACAAACGTGGCCATTACAAAGGTCTTTTAGCCGATGTGTACGCGCCTACCTGATTGCTCACACAAATCATGCTTGTGCGTACGTGCGTAGTAATTGTAATTGCCATTATGCTCTCTGAAACGCTCCGTTGGGGTCAAAGTGCATTACTGAGTTGCAGAGGTGTACGCAGGGTTTCACAATGGGGTGCACAACTAAAAAATGCGCACTGAAAACCACATTAGAACGTCGTACGCGTGCGAAAGCTCTTACGTGTCGTAAAACAATATCACTTCTCGATCCGGTTATTTCTATGTGTCCTGTTGAAATTTTTAACTGGACATTTAGTCACGCACACTTAATACATGATGCAAATTTTTGAAGGGGTGGGGGTACGCGCCCCTTGGGGCTACCATGTGCGTACACCCCTGCCGAGTTGGCTGCATATGCTTTAGGTTAATGAAGGATTTGTTGGGGGTGATGCCAACATCACCGCCCGACACGGCAGCAATTACTTCTAAACACATATGATTTATGCATTAAATGCGATGTGGCAATGACGTGGTCATGTGCCAACAGCCACCTCAGAATTAAATGCTATATCTCAATATAAACGGACACTGTCTTAGGCTGAACCGCCTCGGGATAATTTTCAAAGGCTAGAATAATCAAAATGTTTCTGTGAGTCGGCTAGTACAGAAATAAGCACATGATTCGTGGGGGTTTCACAAACTGTTGTTGATGGATGTATGTTGTGCTGCGCGACATGGGAGCTCCTGGGTCGCGATTTCAGAGCCACGCGCGACTTACGCTCTAGTTTTACCCAACCTGGCCTTACGTATTTGAATTCCTCTAGCTTATATGGCCCAGTTCAGCCTGGTGAGTTTAACTCTGGTCTGAGTCCATTAGGGCGTATGACATGAACTAGTACAGGCCACCATGTGTGACCCTGACCTCATCCAGGGTGACGCATACTGTCGTGACCTGACCCGATTGGTTTTGATCCTGGTTTTTGTGCACTGGTCAGTGCACGCTTCCGTTACTTGTGCCGCGACGTGGTGCGCGACACCATGACCCGCCTCTCACGATGCTGTGAATCATACCACGGCGATCTGATCTCTGGTGGCGTGCTGCAACGTTCTGTGACCTGACCTGACCTGACCTGACCTGACCCTGTTGCAGTCGCCGTCGCGGATCATCCCGGCCAACCGGCGTAAGGACGCCTCTCATAACGAACGCTTCTACGAGGAGCACGAGTACGAGCGGCGGGTGAAGAAGCGCCGCTCCCGTCTGGTGACGGCCGCCGAGGAGGCCTTCACCCACATCCGCCGGCTCAAGGAGCAGCAGGGTACGTCACGGTGGGCTCAGCCGCGGGGGCGGCGATGACTTTCGGCAGAAAGGAGCAAACGGACGGGCCGCGGGGAGAGTGTGCCTGAAAAGTGACGTGGGTGTGTTTAGGTATGCTGATAGAGGGTGTCATGGACATTTGGGGGGGGGGGGGGGGAGAGATGGCGAGAGGAGTTAGCGCGGCACTTGTGTGGCTGCTCGCTTTTACCCTGTGATTATTCCATATGCTGCGCTGGTAGAAGTTAATTTTTTCGTCGGTATTTTCAAGCCAGAGGTTTTATAAGTCCCGGCTCCTGTTTTGCTACCGATGTCAACTCCGGGTCCATTGTTCCGTGAGTCAAAGGACATGTTTTTATTGCAGGGTATTAAGTGCCGAAAGCTGTATCAGCTGAATGTATCTAGAGTGAGGAGCCCGGGGACAAGGGCCGAAGGAAACTGAGCTGGACGTTAGCTTTGTTCGATGCAGTCATCCCACACGGCTGACTCATTTGCTAGCTTGGCTCCCTGGCCAGCTTTGCGTAGGGGTGGGCAGTTGGCACATGCTGTTGCCACAATAAGACACCAAAAAACGCGAGTTAGCTACGCTAGTTTGCCCTCAGTCATGACTCCCCTCCGACGCCAGATTGGACCTGGCCGGAAAAATCGTCCGCGGCTTACGACTCAGGTCTTTGCGAGCACGCCTGCAGGCGGGCATGTTACAGCCGTTTGCGATCCCCAATTTGGCGCGCGGTACGCCCGCTGTCGGCAAGCATGCGCCCTGGAACTACAACAGCGTCGGCTGTTGTTGTCACTTCGCTGCACTGGGCAGTCGGATGAGAGAGGCTTCAGGTTGCAGCTGGGAGATGACGGCCCAGAGGTGCGGGGTTCGATTCCCAGCGGTGCCCACCCTTCCTGCCAAGGCGAGAGGCGGGGACGCCACACAGCCTTCGCAGCTGAGTGCGCCGTACGGCTCCGATGACAGACCCAATGGTGGCTGCCGACATCAGCAAGGTGTCCAGCCACGGGCGTGCCGCCTTGTGAGCCGGCCGTGCCAGCGGAGGGCTGACCTTACCGCCCGTCGGCACGGCACGCGATGAACTTCACCCTCGCGAGACACTGCCAAATACCGTCTTTGATCCCACATCGCGGAAGTGGGTAAAATTTTGATTAGCATCGGGAAGACGCGTAAAATGATAACATTAGTGTGTCAAAGCGTAGAACGAGATATTCCCCATCAGAAAAGCATGCCGAGCTGTTCCCGCTTTCCACTGAGCGGCGTTGGCAGCCCAGGTCGCGACAGTCGCCGCCATACGAGGTGAGGCCGGCGCCTCAGCGACGTGGGAGGTCTGTCAACGACAACTGCTCATCGCTGCATGCTCGGAGATGCCGCGCGACAAAGAAGGAAAAAACCGCCAGATTGTATCGTGGGTTCTGCAAAGTAAATGTGCACGTGATGGATCGGCTTTCAAACTATATAGCTGTTTCCTGTTCACGGAACGATGCAGTTTCGGCCGTCGCGGCTGGAAACTTGACAAAAACTGCGTTAATGAAGAGAAATGGTCGTCAGTTATGGTTTTTCTTGATGCAAACGCCGCCAATAAGACACACCAAATGGAATATGACAATCAAAAAATGTTTTTGATATCCATAAGGGGACATGCACATTACTAGCTTTCTGCTGTCACCGCAAACAGACGCAATGGCATATTGTGCTGAATTAAGCTAGTATACGATGACATAAAGTTGGACTGCGTTATGTCCGGATACGACGGTAATATTCTGCCCCCGTTTTGATTAAACCGATGTAGTGGAATAGTTTGCTACACTTTGCTGTTCAAAAGAAAATAATAAAAGCTGTTTTAATAAACCTTTGCTGTCATCTCATTGCATACATTGCACACAGCTACCTAAATACGTAAAGAATGCATGTCTTCCAGAGGTTCGGTTATTATTTATGCTGGACCTGTTAGCACTCGTCCCTTCACCGGTCATTTCCTGAAGTCTCGATATATTTGCTGATGCGTTTGAGCATAACAGGGCAGACCCAGGGGCGCTATGGGGCTATGACCCCCTTGGACATGCGTAGCAATACCATGGAGATGTTTAGTTCTGGGGCCCGACAAATCCACGAGTATCTAGAGAGACTTTGGGTGACCAAGGTGGTGAGATCAATCCCAGTCGCCTCACCTCATCCTACCTGCTCGGCCATCCACCGGGCGGGCCTCCGTCGCTCACCTCCTCGGCTCGGGCGGCCACCCCGGCCTCTGTCAGCGGCTGCTTTACAAACCGTCCAACAAAGGGGGTGCTGTCGCGCGCGCACCGGTCTGCCGTCGTGCACGATGCTAATGCGCGAGCCCGTTCTGATATTCCACGCCTGTGAAGCTGCCGTCACTGAGCGTGGCGATTAAAACGGCGGCTCCGTCATCGCGCGAGGAAGTACGCGCTCGACACAAGCGCGCGCACGGGTAGAACATGCGGTCCATTGTGCTCACCTTGCAAAGATGTGGGCATGTGACTGGCTGAGCTTTGAGTGCTGCGCGCTCGGCGGTCGTTTCAGTGGTGAATAGGATTAGCTCGAGCACTGGAATCCCTGCTGCGCGGGCATCGGGCGCGCCCAGGGGTACACTCTCTGGCAGCGTGCGCGGTGCTGCTTTGTGCCGCCCCGGCTGATTGTTCGTGCCCTGCACTGCGGGCGTGGCGCCGATTAGGTGACGGTACGGTTCATTTTCTCGGCGCTCTGCGGGGCTCAGATCCAGGGCATTGGAACCTCGCCCGGGAGGAATGTGGTCACGATCCGCGGCCTTGGCCCAGCGCAGCAAAGCGATCAGTTGTATCTGCAAAGTGCAGCAGACTATCTCTAATACGCGATTAACAAGCGTGCGAGTATCAGAAGTGATTCATCGGCCGCGCACGAGCATCAGTGGTTAATCTCCACGCTGGCTGGCGCGAATCGAGGCGACGGTCTGGTTTTGTCGGCTCCGCCTACGGGACCGGACCGCGTACGGGCCCACGCGCTCACCGCCTCCGGACGTGCGCCCATGGCTCCGCGTCCGTCAGCCGGAGGCGATCGCGGGCGCTGCTCGAGTTCAGACGCCGCGCCGGGGGCCACCCGGGCCGGTACGGTCTCCGACAGAGTCACGCGCGGCCCGCCCGCCAGCGGAGCGGCGGCGAGCGGCGGGCAGCGTGGCCTGCAACCGCGACCTGCAGAGAGGCGGCCAATTACGCGGCCGGCGAGACTCTGAGTCAGCCCGCCCGGGAGGGCCGGCTGCGAGGCTTAACAAGCTCCGGCCGGCCGGTGACCTGAGGTCACTGGCCGACCTTAGGTCCGGGGTGGTGCCAGACGTGTCACGCAGAGGTCTGGGACGGGGTCAGGGATAGGTCAAGTGTTGCGGTCGGGGCGGAACCTCGAGTTGGAAAAGACGGCTGTCTGAAAGATTGGTGCAGGATTGTTCGTGATCTTGGGATGATGGTCATGTGACAGTGTTTGTGGGTATTTTAAGACTCAGCAGAAGTGTGCATTTAGCAATTAATGCCTCACCACTGGAGTTCAATGTGGTCAATCTACTCCCATTGTATCCTGAATAGTTGTCGGATCTTGGTAATGTTACAATATTGGTAGATGTTTTAGCCTCCAGGATTTATCAATGGTGTCTGTTTAAACGTACGTGCTACGCCACTAGAGTTCAGTTTGGTCAACCCACTTTGATCGCATCTTGGGTGGTTGTTAGATGCTGCAAGTCGCCGTTCAGCTGTGGCGGCATCATTCAATCTTGCATCCCAGGCTAATCAAAGTGACTCAGGCATGATATGTTGTTTGAATAGAGGTGCTCTGCCTCTGGACACTGGAGATACCAGTGAATGATGTTGTTGAGGTCAGTTATTCTTTGTTCGCGTAGAACGCTGATATTTTCCTCATTCGTCGGACATGCAAATGTTGTGCGGTCGTTCCACTGGAGAGCTGCCGGGGCTAACGTTGTGAAGGTAACCATTCCAGAAGATATTGCGATGTGGCTTGTTTTTCAGTTTGGCCGCGTGTTTTGGTTGGTCGAGACGCGCCAGTCAGGGAATCCCTGTCAGGGAAGCGACAGGGGATCTCTGCGTCTCGGTCTTGACCGATCAAGGCTCTCTTGGGCGACAGTCCCCGACCTGCGCCTTACTGCGCACAGTCAAACCTTGCCGTCCAAGCGTGCATAAGACATTCAATTATAACTCGAGTCTGTGTGCGAGACTTAGTCCTACCAAAAACTACCGGAAGCCGACCGGAAATAAACACAATGTTCGCTGAAATATGAGCTCGGTCCGGCCACATGGAAGGCAGACACTCCTCTCTAACGGACGAGCAGCAAATGGGACTCATAGCGCTGGGCTCCATCTCCAGAACGGGACACCTTTTCACGCGAATGTCTAAACAGTCCACCAACGACCCTCGTCTGCAGACGCTGTTTGTCTTACGCGCAGGGGAAAAACTGAAGGCTCGGTCGGGCACGTCTTGTTTGGATCAGCAGGAAGACAGAGGGCCAAGGCTACTGCTTTTTCCTTCCAGCTAACTCCGGTAATGAGGAAAGCTGATGCCAGGGTGCCAGCCTTTAAATAGCTGGCGGTGTATGACTGCGGGTAAATACCCCGTTGGTGAACGTGCACCTGACCCAGTAAGCTTCGCCCAGGACGGACCACTGCAAGATTACATCGCCACATAGCCTGGGGCTATTGCTGTACCCGCGAAGCTTCCATAACTTCGAATCACGTGTGATGCGTGTTTTGCGAGCTCTTCATAGCTCGCGGAGATACTGAGTTAAAGCTGCGCAGGAATGGTTACGCTGCAGCGGTATCGCAGCGTCAAGATATTCCCCACAATAGCTGTGGGAGCGTCGCGGCGACTTTGATATCAGAATCACGGCGCTGTTCTTCACTCACGCGGCTTCGCTGCTGCGAAATGGTTTGCGTAAATTGTTCAGCTGGTGATAAACCGGTCATTAAAAGACCATTCGGCCAAACTGGTAGGCCCAGAAAAGGCAGGCTGTTTCGTTGCGGATCTGTATGCATAAAGTAGCTGTGCTTCGCCTGAGTGGAGCCCGTATCATGCGGGATTCATGGCGACGGGCCTAACGGGAGCGTTGATTAAACGCAAACCTCGTCTGCTGGTCTGCAGCGTCGGACCAGGTCTACCCTCAGCGCTCCAGGGAGCTGCAGAATAACAGTGGTTAGTGGCAGCGATGACCGAAAGCTTGACCTGTGGGTCGCCGGCCTCTCCCGGCGGCGGCGTCTCGGTCTTCTGCCTAGCTTTGACACGTGTGGCGTCAATAACACCTCGCCTCCACGAATACGTCGGTCCCGACTCTGTGGGGGCGGGCGTGGTCGAATACACGTCAGGTGGTGTCAGTCAGGTATCCATGCGTACTCGCCAATGTCCTGGCACCGTTCGTGGAATCAGCTCTCGTAACAGCCGTGTCTCTAAGGTTCGATATGTAACAGGGTCTCTGTTTCGTGGACTAGGATACGGTCGGCTGTATCGCCATCGCGTGTCAGGGGTGCAAAAGAAGGCGCGTTCATACCTGGTGGTAATGCAGGCCACTTATGATCCTATCAGTTCCGCGACTGCTGAACGAATCCGTGTGCCTGAGAGGGCGTTCGTGGGGTTTCAGGTAAACTGTTGTCTTACATCGGTTTTTGTTTTTCTAATGGATCATGCCACCGGTGCCAAAAAACTGTTTTTCTTGAAATCTGACATGCCGGAAAAATATGGAACTCGAGACAATAGAACATGCATTCCCACAACACCATTTTGTCGTGCTTTAGTACGTATTCGCGGTCAGGATTTGCAGGTGCCCTTCATTTCATTTTTGATGCTTGCACTTCTTTACGTTTTTACCACAACATAACGGCATTTGAAGGCTAATTGAGACGGTCAGGTGATTCTACCTGGCTGCATAACCATGTGTCGCGTTTGTGGTCATGGATCATTGTGGTCACTGCCGGTTGTCAGGCTTTTATGTGGTTTTGTCCAGGTCGCTGCGGGCATTTTTTTTGGTGGATTTTTAGAGCGAGCGCGAGCTGTTTTACGCTCCCTCCGGAGTCCATCCGCCTGATTCCGTGTGATGTCACCGCGAGTGCTCGGCGCGATCTGGCTGCGACCGCTGAGAGCCGCGGAACCGTCGTCTTCTTTCCCTGGGCCGCTGAGAGCCGCGGAATCTTCGTCTCCTTTCCCCGGGCCACTGAGACTCGTGGAACTTTCGTCTTCTTTCCCCGGACCACTGAGAGCCGCGGAACCTTCGTCTTCTTTCCCCGGGCCACCGAGAGCCACGGAACCTTCGTCTTCTTTCCCCAGGCCACTGAGAGCCGCGGAACCTTCGTCTTCTTTCCCGGTCCACTTCGATCTGCAGCTGCCGGGGGTCTATCATCATTTGATTGTGACTCTGTCGGTGTTGGTATGATCCGCTTAAGCCACTTTTTCCGACTATGGTGCGCAGGCCCGATGACTCTGTCCGGCTCATGGTGAGCAGGTCCCATGACTCTGTCCGGCTGATGGTGCGCACGCCCCATGACTCTGTCCGGCTGATGGTGCGCACGCCCCATGACTCTGTCCGGCTGATGGTGCGCACGCCCCATGACTCTGTCCGGCTGATGGTAAGCAGGCCCCATGACTATTTACAGCTGATGGTGAGCAGGTTTCGTGGCTCCGTCCTCCGCCCGCCCCGCTGACCGTCCGCCAACCGCCCCTCCGCCCGCCGCCCGCCCCTCTGACCGTCCGCCGTCCGCCCCTCTGACCGTCCGCCGCCCGCCCCTCCGACCGTCCGCCTCCCGCCCCTCTGACCGTCCGCCGCCCGCCCCTCTGACCGTCCGCCGCCCGCCCCTCTGACCGTCCGCCGCCCGCCTCTCTGACCGTCCGCCACCCGCCCTTCTGACCGTCCGCCGCCGCCCGCAGGTCCAGCCATCCCGCCCTTCTGACCGTCCGCCGCCGCCCGCAGGTCCAGCCATCCCGCCCTTCTGACCGTCCGCCGCCGCCCGCAGGTCCAGCCATCCCGCCCTTCTGACCGTCCGCCGCCCGCAGGTCCAGCCATCCCGCCCTTCTGACCGTCCGCCGCCCGCAGGTCCAGCCATCCCGCCCTTCTGACCGTCCGCCGCCCGCAGGTCCAGCCATCCTGCCCTTCTGACCGTCCGCCGCCCGCAGGTCCAGCCATCCCGCCCTTCTGACCGTCCGCCGCCGCCCGCAGGTCCAGCCATCCCGCCCTTCTGACCGTCCGCCGCCGCCCGCAGGTCCAGCCATCCCGCCCTTCTGACCGTCCGCCGCCGCCCGCAGGTCCAGCCATCCCGCCCTTCTGACCGTCCGCCGCCGCCCGCAGGTCCAGCCATCCCGCCCTTCTGACCGTCCGCCGCCGCCCGCAGGTCCAGCCATCCCGCCCTTCTGACCGTCCGCCGCCGCCCGCAGGTCCAGCCATCCCGCCCTTCTGACCGTCCGCCGCCGCCCGCAGGTCAGCCATCCCGCCCTTCTGACCGTCCGCCGCCGCCCGCAGGTCCCCATCCCGCCCTTCTGACCGTCCGCCGCCGCCCGCAGGTCCAGCCATCCCGCCCTTCTGACCGTCCGCCGCCGCCCGCAGGTCCAGCCATCCTGCCCTTCTGACCGTCCGCCGCCGCCCGGCAGGTCCAGCCATCCCGCCCTTCTGACCGTCCGCCGCCGCCCGCAGGTCCAGCCATCCCGCCCTTCTGACCGTCCGCCGCCGCCCGCAGGTCCAGCCATCCCGCCCTTCTGACCGTCCGCCGCCGCCCGCAGGTCCAGCCATCCTGCCCTTCTGACCGTCCGCCGCCGCCCGCAGGTCCAGCCATCCCGCCCTTCTGACCGTCCGCCGCCGCCCGCAGGTCCAGCCATCCCGCCCTTCTGACCGTCCGCCGCCGCCCGCAGGTCCAGCCATCCCGCCCTTCTGACCGTCCGCCGCCGCCCGCAGGTCCAGCCATCCTGCCCTTCTGACCGTCCGCCGCCGCCCGCAGGTCCAGCCATCCCGCCCTTCTGACCGTCCGCCGCCGCCCCGCAGGTCCAGCCATCCCGCCCTTCTGACCGTCCGCCGCCGCCCGCAGGTCCAGCCATCCCGCCCTTCTGACCGTCCGCCGCCCGCCCGCAGGTCCAGCCATCCCTGCCCTTCTGACCGTCCGCCGCCGCCCGCAGGTCCAGCCATCCCGCCCTTCTGACCGTCCGCCGCCGCCCGCAGGTCCAGCCATCCCGCCCTTCTGACCGTCCCGCCGCCGCCCGCAGGTCCAGCCATCCCGCCCTTCTGACCGTCCGCCGCCGCCCGCAGGTCCAGCCATCCTGCCCTTCTGACCGTCCGCCGCCGCCCGCAGGTCCAGCCATCCCGCCCTTCTGACCGTCCGCCGCCGCCCGCAGGTCCAGCCATCCCGCCCTTCTGACCGTCCGCCGCCGCCCGCAGGTCCAGCCATCCCGCCCTTCTGACCGTCCGCCGCCGCCCCGCAGGTCCAGCCATCCTGCCCTTCTGACCGTCCGCCGCCGCCCGCAGGTCCAGCCATCCCGCCCTTCTGACCGTCCGCCGCCGCCCGCAGGTCCAGCCATCCCGCCCTTCTGACCGTCCGCCGCCGCCCGCAGGTCCAGCCATCCCGCCCTTCTGACCGTCCGCCGCCGCCCGCAGGTCCAGCCATCCCGCCCTTCTGACCGTCCGCCGCCGCCGCAGGTCCAGCCATCCCGCCCTTCTGACCGTCCGCCGCCGCCCGCAGGTCCAGCCATCCCGCCCTTCTGACCGTCCGCCGCCGCCCGCAGGTCCAGCCATCCCGCCCTTCTGACCGTCCGCCGCCGCCCGCAGGTCCCAGCCATCCCGCCCTTCTGACCGTCCGCCGCCGCCCGCAGGTCCAGCCATCCCGCCCTTCTGACCGTCCGCCGCCGCCCGCAGGTCCAGCCATCCCGCCCTTCTGACCGTCCGCCGCCGCCCGCAGGTCCAGCCATCCTGCCCTTCTGACCGTCCGCCGCCGCCCGCAGGTCCAGCCATCCTGCCCTTCTGACCGTCCGCCGCCGCCCGCAGGTCCAGCCATCCCGCCCTTCTGACCGTCCGCCGCCGCCCGCAGGTCCAGCCATCCCGCCCTTCTGACCGTCCGCCGCCGCCCGCAGGTCCAGCCATCCCGATGGACTCTCACGAGGCGGCGCAGGCCATCTTCCCGACGATGGCGCGGCCGCTGCAGAAGTACCTGCGCGTCACGCGCCAGCAGCCGCGCCACACCATGGAGGCGATCCTGGCGCACCTGGCGCAGTGCCTGGCGCACGACATGTCGCCGCGCGCCTTCCTCGAGCGCTACTTGTCGCCGGCGCCGGTGCTGCAGAGCGAGCGCGAGGCGCGGGCGGTGCAGAGCTGGGCGCTGGTGTGCGACACGCTGCTCTCGCGGCCCGCCGCCGAAGGCGTGCTCTTCCAGCTGCGCCAGCACGACGTGTCGCTCCTGTGTTCGGTGGTCAAGCTGCCGCACTTCAACATCACCGAGGAGATCATAGACCCCAAGAGCAACAAGTTCGTGCTGCGCCTGAGCAGCGAGACTTCGGTGTAGTGAAGTGGGGGAGGAGGGACGGCGGGGCTTTATGTGTTGTGGCGCAGTCACGTGCTCATCTATTTATGTGATGCCTGCTGGGTGTGCAGTTTGTTTCCGTCGTATGTGCGAGAGATGTTCGGACGCGACTGGAAGCGTGACGCAAGGTGGCACGTCTGTTGTGTGCGCTTGTCTCTCCGCCGATCGCCGCGAGCGCGTTGAACATGGCGCAAGTCTCATCGCAGTCTGCCACCACATATCATTCGGAGGCGTCTTTGTCCGCCGGGTTTGCCCGTATGCTGTCTCATCGGTCAAGTCGAGGATATCTGCAGCGAACAGTACCGACGGTGGTGTGTCGCAGAAAGTCAGCGTTGCACGATGCAATCGGGCCAGCACACCTTCCCTGATCTCTGCAAGATATCGGGCGCCACCACTGCCAGACTTCCGGCGCCAGGCGGCCCTCTGGAGGCGACAGATCGCCCCCCCCCCCGCGGATCGCCCCCCCCCCCCCCGCGGATCGCCCCCCCCCCCGCGGATCGCCTCCACGGTGCTTGATCCGGGGGTGGTGGCCAGCTGCCGCCGTTGGCCGCCCCGAGCAGCGGCTGAGTCGGCTCGGTTGGACTTCTTTGTTACGTAAGCGATGTGCTGTCTCGGGGCAGGTGGGCAGCGGAGGATCGGAAGCGGGGACGTGCCCCCCCCCTCCCCCCCACACACACATACCCACCGCGCTCATACACTGCATGCCAATAAGCTGGGGTTCAGCCGTGCTTCAGAGCCGCCGCAGTCACGGAAGGCTGTCTGGCAGTTGCATGCCACCCAAGCCGGCCGTTTCAATAGCATCCTCGCATCATCTCGGTTCGTCACAGAGGACAAGACCTGGACTACGTCACCAGCTGCTGGAAGAGGTGGGGGCCAAATTGAAAATGAGGCGATCACCAGTCGTCGGATCGCCCGATCAGCGGGGGCTAAATTAGGAGGTGAAGGGCCTGTCCGACCGCGGCATTGGGGCACGGGGAGGCACAATACCGCGGAACGAACCGGAGCCAAATTGGAGGTTCTGAATGAAAAGCCCGTTGCGAGTCAAACCTGAAAAGCATGGACGACACTGCTGTATGGGCGGCAGATAAATTGGGGGGGGGGGGGGGGAGGAGGACGAGCGGAGCATCCGGTTGGGAGTCGTGAGCGTGAACAGAGGGAATCCGCGTGAGGGAACTTTGAGAGACCTCGAATCACGATGCTCATCGAGGCGCGCGCGTAGACTGAGTGTGCGTCGAACGCTAGGCTGGGTGTGTGACCATGTTTTAATAGGTCAATCGAGCCTTTGTTTTCGCCCGCCTAGGACCCGTAATTTGTTCGCTGCCTCGTGTAGAAGACATCGCGCGTTTCTGTACAACAATATTTGTATATTTATGTCTATTTGTACAAATATAACGGATGACTTCATTCGTGCAGCAGGGTATCCCTCTCACGCTGAGCACCCGAACGTCCGACCGCTGCAACAGATCCCGCACCACGCCGTAACTTGCAACAGTGTATTCCACGCGTAGTTTCCTCTAGAGACCAGGACGAGTCATCCCACCATCCGGAAGGCACACCGGGGAACACTTGGCGCCACAACAGACACCACGCCGCGCGTGGCGCCGACTCCCACCATGCCACGTATCCCGCCGCCGCCGGGCCTCGCAGCCGGCACCGGCGGCGCCTCCGGGCCCGGTCGCCGCGCACGGGCCGCCGCAGGAGCGGGGGTCGACACAGCGGCGGGAGACCTGATCTGCAAGGACGGCGGAAGGGGTCGGGGGCGCGGGACAGTCGACGGCGAGCGGCGGCATGGGATGCAGACGCTCCGGCGGCAGCGCTCGCCGCTGTCTGGGCGATGGTTCGGCCCGAGTCGGCGCCGGCGGCGCCGCCGGAGCGGCGCAAGCCTCGGCACGCGGCAGCCAGCGCCCACCCCGGCGGCGACCTATCCGGCGCAGGCGCAGGGAACAGCGCCCCGACGGGGCTCCGAAACAAAAGACGGCGGCTGTCGCAGACCGGCGCGCGCTTGGTGCGGGGCACGCGTGGCGCCGAAAGACGAGAGCGAAGGCGGGACAAGGTCCGCCGCGTGGCCGGCGGCTGCGGGACGACGACAGACGTCCGACGAGGTCAGGAGCAGACTGGACCTGGCTGGATCCGAACCCCAACGGTCTGAATCACTGTGAGCAGCACTGGCCCCGGAGGGATACGCGAAGTTTGGAGAGCACGCCCATCTCCAAGCCCAGGGTCCCTGTCACACACACACATGCGCAAACCAGATGTCGAGAACAGTGGACATGACATAGCGCCAGGTTTGTACGGAAGGATTCATTAATCCTTAGCTAGATGAAGCTAATCGCACCATGATAGCAAAGCGAATCCGGTCCCATGCCCACAAAAAGGGAGAACACTGGGAAGACGTGGTGTGTGCTATTTGGTTTCCTAGGTGCAAACACAGTTTGATGATGACAAATACACAGAATGTACCAGACAGTGTGAAATAATCAACAGTCACAATCTGCTGAATCAAGGGCTAGCAATAACCAACCATCCACACTGTCAAATTCAGGGCTAGCGAGTGACATCGACATCGACAAAAGACATCGACACGACCCTGAAGAACATTCCTCACGGAAAAATCGGTGACGAGCAAACGTGGTTTACACAACCCGACAACGCCACCGGCACAAAGACATCACGTTCCCTCCAGATGCTGGCCCACAGTCCATCGCTGCGAGGCCTCATTCACTTCCGAGTCCACGCACGCATCATAAGTACTAAGCGTATGTAAAAAGGCTAGACAGACAGACGGTCGACCATCGCGCCAGTCGGCATGCGGCGGCCGGACGGCAACTTTGGTTTATGGACACGGCCGACAGGTGGCGGCGTCACGTGAGCGGGTCCGTCCGGCCGTTTGCGGCGGGCGGCGGCGGCGGCAGCGGCGGGGGCGGCGGCAGACAATCGTGACGCAGACGGCGGACTCGCGCGCGTGCCCGGCTGGCGTCGAACGCGTCCACCACGATCTGTTCCGTGCCCTTGATTTCGGCTCGACAGAACGGACAGCCCTGGCCCTCCGAATCCTGCAGAGGGAGTCGCAGTTAGAGAGTACCGTCACACAAAACCTGTGGTAACATACCTTCATCATCGTGAACCGCACATGATTGGGGTGCCCGGCTAACTTGGAAAACGTCTTCACAAGACAAGAAGCTCGGCTCTCATAAAGAATTTGCATCACATGGGTTTAGAGCATGGATTTTGCCTCCTCCTAAACAAAATAAACACTACAGCAACATGTGGCGCAAGAGCTTCTGGAACACAGTCGCGATTAGACATATGCCTGGATCCTCATCAACTGAAACCCAAGGATATCACAGACATGGCACCTATCGGGTCCTGGAACCACCTTTGGCTCCAATCGCATGTCTGGGCCCAATGAACTTCAGCTAAGCCATGAAACTGTGGTCCAGGATAAAAGCTGCACATTAGTCTGGACGCCAAAACACCATAGGAAGCAGCCCCGGGTAGCTGGGAAAACGCCGACCTTTCCAGAGTCAGCACGGTGAAACGTAACTCAGGAAAGGCAAGGAAAGGCGGAGGAAAAAGCCGTCAGCTGCCCCTTCATCCGGCGGGGCCCAGACGGGGATCCGACTACACGTCTCTGTTCTGAGGAGATCGCCCCACTCTGCTGCCGTCCACACTGCAATCCGGTCAGTCCATCGCTGGTTCAGATGAGCAGACCCCCCAGCCTGACCTCACCTAACCTGACCAGACGACCTGACCTGACCAGGTGACCAAACCTGACCAGATGACTAGACCTGGCCAGATCTCGATGGCCGGTGTAGGCCGCCAGGCTCGTCTCAACGGGCACCAGCGCAGCGAGGACGAGGTGACCTGACCTGGCGCCGACACCGACCAGGCCGTGTCGCTCCCGGGGTGACCTGACCTGGCGCCGGCACCGACCAGGCCGTGTCGTTCCCGGGGTGACCTGACCTGGCGACGGCATCGACCAGGCCGTGTCGCTCCCGGGGTGACCTGACCTGGCGCCGGCATCGACCAGGCCGTGTCGTTCCCGGGGTGACCTGACCTGGCGCCGGCACCGACCAGGCCGTGTCGCTCCCGGGGTGACCTGACCTGGCGCCGGCACCGACCAGGCCGTGCCGCTCCCGGGGTAATCTGACCTGGCGCCGGCACCGACCAGGCCGTGTCGTTCCCGGTGTGACCTGACCTGGCGCCGGCACCGACCAGGCCGTGTCGCTCCCGCGGTGACCTGACCTGGCGACGGCACCGACCAGGCCGTGTCGCTCCCGCGGTGACCTGACCTGGCGACGGCACCGACCAGGCCGTGCCAGCCTCGGGCCGCTGCAGAAGCGCTCTATCTCGACCCCTCCGACTCGACCTTCCCACACGGATGGCGCAGACAGAGCCGGTGTCACCGACTGACCCCTGACAGAGACAGCGGAGGTAGGGAGGGAGGAGTGCCTCTGACCCGCCAGGTCAGAGGCAACAGGAGGGACGGAGGGGTGCCTCTGACCTGCCAGGAGCTGAGGCAGGGCGTGCAGAGCAGGTGACCACATGGCTCGATCTTGATGTCCTTGTCGTTCTCGGCGCAGATCTTGCACAGCTGGAACGTGCTGCCCATGTCGCAGTACAGCTCGTACTGCTCCAGCGTTACCTGGCGGATAGAACGGGCCTTGACACAGGCGCCCTCTCACGGCCCGCGAGACGGACGGGCGACAGCGGCGCCGCATGGCGGAGACAGCCGGTACTACACGCCGCACACCCCTGTCCCGTCCGGGAAATAAGTCGGTGGTCCAGTCAGGATGGAGATCGTGGCCATTCGAGCAGACACAGTGACCTGCAGTGTTTTGACCCGCATTGCAGATAAGGACCATAACGACGTTTTGACGTTGCGACACGGTAAAATGTTTTTCGTTTTATCGCGTATTGCAGCATGGCAAAATGCTTTGCGTTCTATCGCGTTCGTCTGGCGTCGAGCACGACTCACTTTGTGATGGAATCATGGACGACAAGCGCAGTTACACTACTGCAACTGAACCGCCAGCAGGTTGCCGAGCGGATAGAAAAGTCTATTCCAGTGCACATAAGGTTAAACGCTAAGATAGGAGACCTTTCACCAACGTCAGAGATCCCTCCCTATCACAAAGAAATGTTAAATGTCCAGTGGCGAGGCCAAAATTAACAAAACGCCACGGGTAGTCAGAACGACTCGCTGTAGGTGACGCCTGCAACCACAGCTTGATGGACAGCTCCCCTCGACTCGTCGCGGAGAGCCGGGCGCCGACTCGCGCAGCCACGCCTCTCGCGCGGGTGTGTGCCGCCCCTCGCCCGCACGCACCCTGATGTGGTCCTCGGGGGTCGCCTGGACGGCCCACGACAGGTCCGGGTTGTCGTCCTTGCCGTCCGGGTACAGGTAGCTGAAAACGGCGTCAGCAGCTTTACCGCCTGCGTTGTGGAAGTCTTACACCG